CACAGCCTCCCGCTGAAGGGTGGGACGTGCAGACAGAGAGCGGCAGGAGGACATGCTGATCCTTCCCAAATGGCCCAGAAGCCAAGAATCCCCACATGTCCGAGTGCTGATGGAGCAGCCTGGTAGTGTGTGGGTGTGCTGGAAGTGTGCTGTGAGGCAGGGCACTGATGTTGGCTAAGTGGCCTCAAAACCCAGGGACTGTCTTGCACAGCCCCACGCGGCACAGAGGGCACGTGCCTGATGGAATGGGATGTGTGTGCTCAAGGAGATTTGTATTTTGAAACACAGCAAGGCAGAATCTTGCCTTGATCACAGGGGCCAGGGTTAATTACAGTGTAAAGTGGGGATGGGTACAATCAGCTGATATCTCAGGGAGGCTGGATGGTGCTGGGTATGAGTTAGGGGTCAGAGGTATGGACACGCCCTTATATTTACCCACTGGATTTCTTTGTCATCTTCTGTGCTCTTCTGTTCAAACCAGGACTAATAGCCAGAGCTCTTTTCCTGGCTGTGCCATGCATGGGATAGCCATGGAGCAGGGGTTTCCGTGCTACTCTGTAGGTACCAGTGCCAGCATGTGACAGAATGCCTTGATGTGTAGAAAAGCCCAGGTGAATCCCAAAAGTCTTTGACACTGGTGGGAAAATATCAGGCCCTAGCATCTGCCACTGTTTGGTGAATGGGAACAGGAAGCCAGGAATTTCAGCATAACATCATTATAAGGCAGAACTTGTACGAAGTCCCACTTTCCTCACACTGCAGTAATCTGTCCTGAGCTTTGTAATCAGTGCTTTTGCAGCTCAGCTTAGTGCAAGTTCTCCTAAACCCAGCCTTAAGCTGCTCTCATAAGCTCTTACAGAGGGAACAGACCTGCCTAGGAAGCCTGGGGCTCATCCCAGCCAGCTAACTCACCTGACGCAGTGCAACTCACCTGGCCAGCTCCTGGTTTTAAATACTGTTCTTGGAAAGTTCTGTTAGAACTGCTTTTAGGAGCTGAGGAGCTGAGCTCATTCATTCATTCCAGATTTTTAAATACATTTTTTGTTGTGGCTTGGACAGGCCTCCTCCCCCTGCACAGGTGCTCTGGCAGAGGAATGCTGAAGGGTCAGGCTTGGGGCAGTTGTGCCTCCTGCTCCCGTGGACATCCCGGAATGGTTTCCGGAGCATGTGTCTGCTCACCCAGGTATCATTATCACAGACATAAACAAAAATCTCACTGCTGAGGTCAGTAGGGAAACCTCTCAAATTGCTGTGCAGCTCAGGGTCATGTCACGAGTTTTCCTGCCTGGCTAATTCACTCCATGGGATGGACTTCCTCCTTCAGCGGATGGACGTAGGAGGGAGCTTCCCTCACCCTGTGGCAAGCCTGTGTGGTGGAGCTGTTGCACGAGGTGCTGCCACTGATTACTGTGGCCTCCTGCCATCCCAACCACAAGTTGTGTCAGGTGAGTGGCAGCTGCTGTGTCCACCTCTCACTTCACACATTCACCTGTCTCCTTGGCAGCTCCAGAAGCGTTGCCTTCAGGAGCCCTGGCTGCTGCTCGCAGCTGGCACGGCGCTGCAGAGCCCAGGAACGTGGGAGCATATTCCACCAGCCTCTCTCTGTCCATGACCTCTGGTAGGCACACTGCCTCGCGGAGTCCAGCGTGGGAATACAAACACCACCCGCCTCCTGAGGCTTTGGTCTCTCTCAGCAGGATGTGGTGCTAACACCCAAGGCCATGGGACCAAAAGCCATATGAGTTGAGGCCACAGACTCTGGAAAGAGCTCCAGCACACACCAGGAGCACGCAAGGATCAACCACAGCCTGTAGCTCACCTTGCTCACCTCTGGGCCAGATAAGAAGGAAGATGATGTGTCCCATCCATGTGATGCTAGGGATCTTTCAGGTTTTGACCTTAAGTTATCTGACATGTGTCCTTTCGGACTGGCGGGAGTGCCTGGCAAGCCGGAGGCTTGGTCTGCCCTGCAGAGACAGGCTGGGGAAAATGGGGTGACAGGGACCTCATGCAGCTCAACACGGGGAAGGGCAGAGTCCCACTAGGGACAGGAACAGCCCCCACACCAGTATGTGCTGCGTCACCTAGCTGGAAAGGAGCTTGGCAGAGAAAGCCCTGAGTGTGCTGGCACACCAGGAAACCGGCTGGGCAGGAGCCAGGAACACACCTTGGGAGGGAAGAAGGTGGATGGTGTCTGGGTGCATTAGCTGAGGGCTGATAGCAGGCACAGGGAGGATCCTTCTCCCTACTCAACGCTGCATGGGTCACACCTGGAGTGCTTGCATGCAGTGTGGGGTTGGCCGGCAGCAGGAGAGACCCTGGAGAGCTTCCAGTGGGGGTCACTGCCATGGAGAAGACACTGGAGCATCTCTCCTGAGAGGAAAGGCTGGGCGCGCTGGGGCTTGTGCCGCCTGGAGGAGGCTCGGCGGGTCACGGGCAGGCCAGCACGGCTCTCTCGCCCGGGCAGGAAGCGTTTCAATCGCGAGGAGCTGAGAGGAGCCGCAGCTCCGTGTGTCCGGGCCGGGCGATGCCGCGCGGGGGAGCTGCGGCCCCGCCAGCGGGACGGGCGGGCACGGAGCGGCCGAGCGCCGGGCATCCCGCGGGGTCCAGAGCCGGGCATCCCGCGGGGTCAGAGCCGGGAATCCCGCGGGGTCTAGAGCCGGGCATCCTGCGGGGTCAGAGCCGGGCATCCCGCGGGGTCAGAGCCGGGCATCCCGCGGGGTCAGAGCCGGGAATCCCGCGGGGTCTAGAGCCGGGCATCCTGCGGGGTCAGAGCCGGGGTCCGAAGCCGGGCATCCCGCGGGGTCAGAGCCGGGAATCCCGCGGGGTCTAGAGCCGGGCATCCTGCGGGGTCAGAGCCGGGCATCCCGCGGGGTCAGAGCCGGGAATCCCGCGGGGTCCAGAGCCGGGAATCCCGCGGGGTCAGAGCCGGGCATCCCGCGGGGTCCAGCGCCGGGCATCCCGCGGGGTCCAGCGCCGGGCATCCCGTGGGGTCAGAGCCGGGAATCCCGCGGGGTCCCACCCCGCGCATCCCGCGGGGTCCTACCCCGGGCACCCGTCCGCAGCCCCCGGGAGCTGCCCCGGGGCGCCCGGCAGCCTCAGGTGTCCCCAAAGGGCAGGATGTGCCGCCTGTGCCGTCCGTCTGTCCTGCCAATCTCAGCACGCTCCAGCATCGCAAGGAGCGGTCCCTGCATGCCGGACCCACCGCCCACCCCCGGCCTGGCCTGACCCGCAGTGTCCCCGGGCTGAAGGGCCCCCTCGCAGGGCACTGCCCTCGCAGGGGCCCAGACAAGCACAGAGAGGTGAGGCACCAAGGACGTGCTTCCAGGGGGCACGTTTTTGCACTCACAGCTTCAGGCACAGACACGCTCGGTGCCTGTCTTGAGACTGTTAAATTCCCTTTTACCCAGACCTGGTGGTGTTTGTTCTTGTTGCACTTTGAAGAGCACTGTCTACCTGCATCCTTGGGCAGCCCTGGCTTTGCTTGAGCCCAATAACATAGAGTGGGGTCAGGTATGGGGATACTGGGGCCTCCTGCTCCCATCAAAGTTTGGGCCAGTCTCCATCAGCGAGACAGAAAAGCCAGAACCACATATTCTTGCTCTGCTGTCCTCCTCAATCTGTGTATTTGTCTCCTATGTGGCAGGAGACCACACAGGCTGGCAGGGGCCTCCTTTTCTTGAAGGAGGAATATTCAGACTCTAGAGATGACTGCTCTGAACCCAAAGTGCCTGTCAGTTTCTCTCCTTGCCTCCAAAGGACAGGATTAAACCCATCTTTAACCCAAACTAAATAGCTTTAGAAATGCTTTCTTCCCCTTAGACATAAAAGAAATTGGCAAGGTATGTCAGTAATATACAAAGTCCTTCCTTTTAGTTTTGAAATACCATGGTTGATTTGTTTTCCTTATGTTTTTCCAGCTTTTGAAAGTGAAAGCCTTGAAAGGAAAAGGCCTCCACAGTTTTAGGTGCTGTTTGCTGTGGCAGCTCTCTGGGCTGCTCTCACTGCCAGCCCTGGCAGTGCCATGACTGCACGGGGGTTGGGTGCTCTGGGCCAGCTGGACACGGGCTGGGGACTCCCGAAGCGCTGGCCTGGCAGCCTCAGGACAGCCTGTGCTGACAGATGGGGTAGCTGTCCTCAGGGAAGCTGAGCCATGGAAACAGAAGTGAAGGAGCTCAAGGGACCTATTATCCTTGAGAGAGGCTGGTTGGGGGAGGCTTTTAGAGGCTTTGCCTCCCACTGCTCTCCAGTTGCCAAAGATTGACCATCCTTCTCCTTCCAGCCTCCCTGATTGCTTCCCCTCCTGCTCTGCTCTGCTCAGCCCTGCTGCAGGCCCTGCCCCTGCTCCGCAGGCTTCCCTTCCCAGGGAGGCCAGAGAAAAAGGAGGCACAGCGCCATCCCACACAAATCCTGATGTCAGCATCGTCCGCCATCCCCTGTGCCACAGCCGCTTCCTCTCTCACACGAGATGTTTTCTTTGTGTCTGGCAGCTCAATCCCTGCGGAGCTACTGTGGGAGAGAGGCGTGGAGGAGCTGGAGTCTCCCTAAGGAGAGTGCCTGCTCCCACGGCTGCAGGCACCAGATCTGGGGTGGTTTTGGGACACGTGTGCATTAAGGACAGGGGGTGCTTGGCTTGTGCACAGCCTTGCTTCAGCAAGAGCTTATGTGGACTCTCATGCCGCTTGCTGTGCATGTGCCTGTGACCTGTGGGCATGTTTGGAGGAAACGTGGGTCTGTTCCATAGTGGGAGATGGTGCTGGCCTGCGTTGGTGTGTTTATAAGGGCACCTCATGTTCCCCTCAGTGTCGGTGAGGCCCAGCCATCGTCACGGCAGTGCAGACCCCTCTGCAGTGCAAGATGCTGTGCCTGTGGGTTCCCTGGGAACAGCGTGTTCAGAACATTTCCGTTTGGCAGGAGGTGCACAAGGATACAGGACTGCCAGAGCACAGCCGCTTCCTGACAGCATCAGCCTGAATTGCAGTGAGCACACAGAGGTCCGCACTCCTGGCTGGGAGCCTTTCTTGGAACACGCTGCTTGCGTGACCCCAGCGTGGGCAGTGCGACTGAGAGCCGCGGTGTGCCGTGCCACGCCATCGGGACCACTTCCCTGCCACACAAAGGATGGAGGGTGAGAGCCAGGCTGTTCCTGGAGGTGGAAAAGGAGCCAGGCAGGCCGTAAGGACGGCTCTCCATCTGCCCCAGCTCCCTGGCACACGGCAGGGATGGGATGCTCAGGTTCGCCGGGTGCCGACCGGCAGCACAGGCCCTTTGGAGAGGTGGGTGGCGGCTCCCCACAGCAGCCCCGCGTACCGGGGCTCCCCGCAGCCTGCTCCGGGCGGGCGATGCCCGAGTGTCCCGCGGAGCCCCCGGGAGTAGCGGGCTGGGGCTGTGGGGAGCCCCCGCCGCAGGCGGGAAGCGCCGCCAGGGACTCGCTCCGCTGCCGGAGGGGAAAGGACCGTGAGAGGAACGGAGGGAGGAGCGGAGGGTGGGAGGGAGGAGCGGGAGGGAGGGAAGGAGGAGGAGCGGGGCGGGAGCCCGGGCCGGCCCCGCCCGCCCCCCCGGCCCCGGCCCCGGCCCCTCCGACGCCCGCCCATGGCTCGGCCGCTGCCGCTGCTGCTCTGCCTGGCCGCGCTGGGCGCCGGCTGCCGGGCAGGGACCCACCCCGCCAGCACGGCTGGGCCCTCCGCCGAGCCGCTGCAGGACGAGGCGGACAACCAGGAGAACATCCTCTCGCAGGTACCGCGGGGGCTGCGGGCACCTCGGCGTGCGGCTGGGCGCTGCCGGGCGGGGCTGTGCGCGCCCTGCGGGGCGCTGGCTGCTGCTGCGTGCTGTAGGTGCTCGACAGAGCTGGGTGCTCCTGAGTGTAGACTTCTCGGCAGCGCTGGGTGGTACTGTGCACACTCTCAGTGATGCTGGGTGTACGCTGTCGGTGGTGCTGGGTGGTACTGTGCACACTCTCAGTGATGCTGGGTGTACGCTGTCGGTGATGCTGGGTGATGCTGCGCACATCCTGGGTGATGCTGGGTGTACATTCTCGGTGGAGCTCAGTGATGCTGTGCACTGGAGGAAGTTCATCACGGGGGGCACAGTGAAATCACTGAAGCCCATCAGGGAGCACTATACACACTCCATCCTATCATTTCTCAGAAAAGGGAAACTCCTTGAGAGGAGAGCTTTGGGGCCTCTTTGTGTGCTGAGGGGAGGGATCCAGGCTCTTTCCCTGCCAGTGGGATGTGGTGGAGGTTTCTGTTAGATTTGGCTGATCAGGCAGTGTGTTATTATCTGCCCTCGGAAATGGCTAACGCAGAGACTATTGCAAATGTACCGCCAAAGTTATTTTTGTGCTTGGGCTTCCAGAAGCGCTGTCTGCAAATCTCCGTAAAGGAAATTCCTGGCATTGTATAGGGCTAATCAGAAATACTGCTTCACCACCAGGTTACGCCGCTTGTAGGGTGGCTTTCAGTCACTCTTCCAATGTACCCTTGCCCTGTTGTCCTGTGTAAAACAGTCTTGCTCTGGGTAGCAGGTGGCTTATTTGGTCTTTTGCACACAGAGCATTAAAAGAAAGCAGAAAAATTAAAAATTCTTGTATTTAAAATTCAAAGTGGTGTTCTGCACACAGTGCAATAAAAAATACCCTGTTGAAAGAAGCCAAGTTTTATTCCCCTTGTAGGTAGTGATCAGCTCTGTGCTCTCTAGAAAGCTCCTTGGCTTGGCAAATTCTGGAAGAGCTGGCCAGTTTCCTCGAGACTCAGGGTATCCAGAGTGTCCTTGTTTGCACCTTGAGCTCTAGGCCTTGCTTGTCCCTGGGCGTGCAGACAGAGGACGGGAGGTTTGCTCACTGCTGGTGACTTGTGCTCAGCTGCTAGGTGACTACGACAAGGTGAAGGCGGTGTCCGAAGGCTCCGACTGCCGCTGCAAATGCCTGGTCAGACCCCTGGGCCGTGGCGCCTGCCAGAGGATTAACGAGGGTGCCTTCAGAGCGGAGGATTTTTACACGGTGGAAACCATCACGTCAGGACCCAGCTGCAAGTGTGCGTGCGTTGCCCCCCCCTCAGCTCTCAACCCTTGCGAGGGCGACTTCAGGCTGAAAAAGCTGCGGGAGGCAGAAAGCAGCGACCTGAAGGTAGGAGAGCAGCTTCAGCTCCTGACTCCTTGGGGACGTGATCATCTTACAAAGCCTTTTTTTTTTTCTGAGCTTTTTCTGAAAAACCCTCTATTTCCTAACCTTTTTTCTTAAACCATATCCTTGTTATATTTATATCTGCGTGTTTGATACAGAAATCAAGTTCAGCTTAAGGGATTGAGTTGAGCAGCTGCAATGGATGATTCACTTGATTCATCCTGTGCTGCCTGGGATCCACCGTGGCTTTCTGTGCCGAGAACCCAGTAGGGACTGGGCTGCTCCCTGCCCTCTGTCCAGCTCCAAATATCCCTGGAGGACAGCTCTGCTCTGCTCAGCAGCTGCCAGGTCTTTTTTCTGTTGCAGACAGGGACTCCCAAGGACTCACACAAAAAAGCTGATTTGGCTTCCGTGGGCCAAAAGCTGCTGATGTGTCAGCATGAGGGTGTGATGCACAGCTGGCTGAGGCAGGATGGATTTGTTGTTTTAAATGCTGACACTTCTCTACTATTTAGTATTATCTCTCTAGTAATATATCCCTCTTTTCCAAAAGTGACAGTGTTTGTTCTAAGTACTCCTGACTTTTACTGGGTGCTTCCTTTTGCTGGTGTAGCAGCTGGCAGCAGACCCTGCTGGGTTTTCCAGTTTGCTTCCAGTGTAGGGCAGCAGAACAAGCCACTGGCTTGGTCCAGTCCTGGCGAGTCCCTGGAGTGGCAGGTTGAGTACTGGTGGCACTGGTGCCCCTAAATCGCTCTCAGGGGGGAAGGGGGGTGGCGTGCAAGGTGCTGTGGGGCAGCTGCCATTGAGGCCACCATGGTGGGCTAGTTCTAATTAATTTGGAGCTTGAGGATGTGTTTCATCTTGTCCGAGTGCAGACAGTTAGCAGCTTCTTGTCCAAGCTCCCCTGCAGCTAGGGAAGATAAATAGGCACAGGCAGACAATCCATCATTCCAGGGGAGGAGGAGTCCCAGTCTGGAGTTGTTTGGTGGTCCCTCGTCTGGGGAAAAGCCAGGAGGTCCCACGTGGCCTTAGATGAGAGTCGTGAGCTCTCTGTGGTTAGGGGAGGGGACACCCCTGAGGCGACAGAGCCACCCCTGTGGTCCCTTGCCGGGAAGCAGGCAGAGCTCCTGCACCAGCAGCTCCCTCCTCATTCTCCTCCAGGAGGAGCAGAACTGCCTGGCTGTCCCTTGGCTCCGGCTGCACTTCCCCTTGGGGAGCAGCCCTCAGCCAGCTGTGGTGTGAAAGGCTGTCCTCTAGGAACTGGCCCCGGCTCCCCCGCTCGTTTTGCAAGGGCTGGCGGCCAGGCGGTTGCACAAGGTTTGTCCAAACCCACATACACGGGGGTTTTCTCTGCTGCCAGGCACTATCCCGGGAGCTGGGCACCAGGATTGCCTTCCCTCCAGGCACAGAGCCCCTCCTGGGGTCGGGATCACTGGGAACAGCCCTTTCTTGTAGGAGAGGGTGGGAAGAAGGAGAGGACACAGCTCCAGTTCTTAAGCTACTCATGAGGAGCAGGTCCCACAACTCATCAGTGAGTGAACAGCACAGCTCTGAGGAGCCCCAAAGGGTTTTACTCTCTTTGCTGGTCCAACAAGCGTTGCTCTTGCCTGGTCCAGCAGCAGGAAGGGCACAGGGTCATTTGTACGTTGTGTTTTACCAGACTTTCTTATGAACTGACCCAACAGCCCTGGGTACTGCATGTGTGGGAGAGCCGTGGGAAGGTCCCTCCCTTGGGTGGGCTGGAGGATGAGTCCCTGAGGGAATGGTGAGAAAGAGAGAGAAATCCAGGCAGCAGGAACACAGCCCAGGGCAACCAAACTCAGTCGAATGCCTGCACTGGGCTTCCCAGCTGAAGGTTTCAGTCCCATCTGTGCCTTTAGTAAGGTCCAGTGGGAATTTGTGGACCATCAGACCAGTGGGAGCCAAAGGCCACAGTGGGTGAAAGGAGGGAAATGGTGAGTTGATAGGAATATCAGTGTAGTCTTTGGGGAAAGGTCAGTGCGGTGTTGGCAGGGAGTAGCTTTATCTCAGATCTATTTTTGTGAAATGGCAGCATGCTGCCTGCAGGCACAGTGTGAGTTTTGGGGGTCTTGGTGCAGAGTCAGTGCAAGGAGGCTGTGCTCAGGATCATTTGGAAGGAGGTTAATGCAGTCTGCAACCTTTGTGCATTGATGGAAATTCTCCAGCCTGGAGGGAAAGTGGTTGTCTCCAGTGGCTGTCTGGCAGGCAGTGTGCATTGTATCGGTCGTCTCCATCCAGCTCTCAGTGGAAAGTGGATGCACAGCCATAAAACAGCTCTTGTCTCTTAATGCTGTCATTTTATCTGGCCCAAAAAATCTTTCCTTTGCTGTCAGCTCCACAGGGAGGCTGCAGAGGCTGGGGTGGAAACTCCAAGTGCTGCCAGCAGTGCTGCCTGCGATTCTCCCATGTTTATGAAGCTTTGCTGACCAGTTTGTAGCTGCTGGGAGAAAATGTCACTGCTCTGTAGTAATTCCTATGCACTGAAGATCCTGCTCAGCCATCGGGGTTGTAGAATCTACAGCACCACGCTGGACATGTGGGGGCACATGGGGACACGTGGGACCAGGGGGAAGTGGCCCAGGAGCCCTTCCCACTAGCCGTGCCATGCTTAGCACTGTCCTCTGAGGCGCAGCACCAGAAACTAGACAGAATGCAGAACAAGGGCTCTGCTGTCCAGATCCCCAGGGGTGACCAAGGGCTGATGCTGGGCAGGACACAGGCACAGAGGTGACTTAAATGCAGGGTGCCTGTGAAATGGGTGGCTGCAGCAGAGAGCAGCATCCCTCTGATCAAATTGTTCGTCAGAAAGGCAACTGTTGTCAGGCTGGCACTGAATTTCTATTTCTTCGCTCTTGCAATTTGAGGGTATTTTAAAACTTTTTAACAAGTTTCTTCTTGTTCCAGGAAAAAGAGCACAGGATGGCACAAACTCAGAGTCTGACCTCAAACTGAGCTGCCTTTTTCTTGTTGCCTCTTGCTGGCAGTCACATCACTGGTGGAGTGGTTAAGCCTTTGGGCTTGTGGGAGAGCCTGCCTAAAGCTGGCAAAGGGCATTTTACCTTGCTCTGCTACTAATCCCCAGCAGCCAAAATGTGCTGCTGAAGCCCTGAGGCTCTGTGGAGGTAGCAAGTGTCACTCTGCATGCCGTGCTCTGACCAGGGCAGCAGTGCAGCAGGGCTGCATAAGGAAAAACTTGCTTTTTAATCCAAATTCTTGCACTCAGATGGAGTGCACTTGACTTTTCGGCTGAAGAAGCTCCATGGGTGTATGTTACAGCAAGTGCTGCTGCCTGACTGTTCTCCCCTTGCCTTGCAGCTCTCCTCCATCGTTGAGATGCTGGAAAGTGCCTTTTATGGCTTAGACCTACTGAAGCTGCACTCAGTCACGACCAAGCTGGTGGGTCGGGTGGAGAAGCTCGAGGAGGTGAGTCCTGCTCACCTTCAATGTCCTTGCCCTCGGTGGGACTGGCCTCCAACCGAGTTCCTGCTACCTTTGGTGCATTCAGAGCCACATTGCTTGGGAAGGAATGTTAATTAACTATTTGGCTTAAACCAAACCAGACCAGACTTGGATCTGAACCAGTCGGGATCACAGGCAGTGCTCAGTGCATCCCGACCCCATCAGCCTTGCCTGACCCTTTCCAGCTCTCGCAGTCCCTCAGGGCTCAGACTGGGAGTTGGATCCCAGCTGTGGTCTCAGCAGGAGCAGCATCTCCTTTGGGTCAGAAGGCCCTGCTGTTAAGTTTTTCCTATTCTCAGCTTTATTTGCGTGCTGGTGTGATGGTTGCTCTCAACCAGGAGCTTTTGTGCTGTTTGATGTGGGGGCGAGAGGTTCAAGGCTGGTGCAGGGGTACACTCCGCAGGACTGTGGGGAGCCAAGGAGCTCACATTCCTGAAGGACCAAGTTACGTCTTGGCCTGTATTAAAACAGAGCAGAACTCTCAACCTTCCATTTAATTTTAGAGCAGCCTTCCAGTGAAATAATTTTCACTTCCATACAGTTTAATATTTCTTTGGCTAGCACAGCGTAAGGTTTGCAGTTTAAGCTGTGCTCGGCTATGTAGCAACAGGTTGCCAGATTAAATACTGGAGTTTTCTCCCGTGGTCCATATCTGGGACAGTAATTCTACATTCTTGTCGGAGTGGAGCAGTCCTGTTCGTCTGCAGCCAGGAGCTGAGAGGCAATGATTTATAAAGCCAAAATTCCACTTGCAAAGTGTTTCGGGAAGGCACAGCGTGCTCCATCCTGGGGTCAGGAAGGAGACTGCTGAGGGGAGCATGCTTGCCTGGAGGGCTTTGAGTTTCCAGCATGGAGATTGACCCAAAAGGGGTTTTGAGGCCTGAAAATAACAAAGCACCAATGTTGCTCTTTGCAATCCCACCCCCTTCCTGTGGTTTAGTGTGTTCTTCGTTACTTGGGTTTGCCAAGGGATTGTTTCAGTGGGGTTATCGCTGCACTCTGCTCCAGTACCAAAGTGACCCTGCCTGCCAGCTAGTTTCTGCAGGGGAGTTTAGAGCCAGCAGTGCTGGTGGCACGTTGGGCACATGGGGTGACTTTTGCAGCCTGGTCACTCTGCTCACAGCCTGTCACAGAGATGGCAGAAAGCTGCGTAGAGCTGAAGGAGTTTGGTCTGGGATGGAGCTGTAGAGGTGTAGGAGCAGGGAATTCATAGGGGCCTCTAATTTCCCAGAAGTGAGGCTGCAGGATCATGTAAAAGCAGCTGAAGCTGCCTGCAGGCACTTGGACAGGATGGAGAAAGGCAGGAGAGGCCTTGGTTAGAAGGAGTTTGCTCAGTGCTTGGGGCAGAGCCGAGCTGATGCAGGCAGCAGGTGTGAAATGCTTGTTGCTGCTGGCTTAGCACGAGAATTCCTGTTGAGAGGATGTGGAGGAGGCTCACGCCCCGCGCCAGCTGTGGGCTCTGACAGCACGGACAGCTGAGATGCTGAACTGGAGTCTGGCATGGCTTCAGAGCATCCCCCTCCCAGGCGGGTGTGCTTTTGGCAGCTGCTCCCCTGTGCAGCAGCTGAGCAGCCTCAGCAGCATCACAGGGCAGCCTTTGGTGCTGCCTCTCCTCTCAAGGGGATTTTATCCCTAAGCAGGTCATAAGCCAAACGTTACAGAGGAGAAGCAGTAAGGGCACAAGGCTGTTGGAATCAGTCATCCTCTCCAAAGGAGGATGGTGTTGAGAGCTGCTCCTGTGCTGCTCCTGGGAGAGCATCGTGAGATCCCCTGCTCCTCTGCTTACTGCAGCAAAACACTTGCTGGAGAGTCCCTGTGTCACTGGACTTGGCCTCAAAGTGCCCTGGTAAATCTGTGACTCATGATTCTTGGGTAAAGACTGGGAATTCAGATGCTGGGGGTTAACCCCTCTGTTTTTGCAGAGGTTGGAAGGTTTCATGAGTTCTTTGCAGTACAACAAGGTGTTTTAGACCAATGGTGTCAGTAGAAGGAAGGAACCCCCAATTCTTGGTCCCTGGAGTGCTTTCTCTAGTGAGTCAGCTCCTCTGCTTTGTTTGCAGCTCACAGCTGTCGCATCAGCTGGCAATTTTGAGGTCACAGATGGAGGTCATGGTGGGTTTTAGGAGAAATTAATGACAGAACAGATTGAAAATGAATGATCAGGATAACCACCCCCAGTGCCTGTGCTAAAGTGCTTTGACTGATGTGCCACCCATCCAAAGCAGTGGCTGTTTGAGGTGTAGAAGCCCACGGAGTGATGAGCAGAGGCTGCAACAATCCCTTGGGCATGGGGTGTGCCTGTGGCTGGGGGACTGAGAAGGGTGAAGGGTTTTGCCTGCTGGGTGAGTTACAACCAGCCCCAGCTCTGTTCCTGTCACAGGACAGCTCTCTGACAGTCACTGGCTCTTGTCCTGTCCCCAGATTCTCAGATTCTGTGGGAGCAGAGGGTGCTGGGGAGCAGCAGTCCCTGAGTGCAGGCACTGTGTGGCCAGGGCAGGAAAGTGAGATTAATAAATGCAAGATGAACTTGCTGCCACAGGCAAAGGATACTAGGCTGACTTTAAGGTGTTTCAGCTTGTCGTTTCCTCTTCCTTCTGTGAGCTGGTGAATGTGGCTGAGGGTGGGGGTTGAAGAGCCCCAAGGCCACTCTCCCCCTCCATGGGAACCTGCAGCAAAGAGTGGATATGTACACCAGGGATGGGGTTCCTGGATCCCACTGGGGTCATGGGCATCTTCTTAGCAGCTGAAGTGCCTAGCCTCATGGAGAAGCCCCAGCTGTGAGCCCAGGATGGCAGCACAGAACTCCAGGGCTGTGGTTTGGGGGCCACAGAACATCCCTTGTCATTGAAGTGTCCTCTCTTACTTTCCTAGGGCATGTCCAGGAACTTCACGCAGGAAGGCCAGCGGGCAGGAGCCAGCGGGGAGGAGGTTCTGCAGGATCCCCCAGACAGGGAAAACTGCTCTAGGCTCCTCACCAACAGCCTGGCCGACATCGAGAGCTCTCTGCAGCGGGACGCCGAGGCTGCCTACGCTCACTCAGAGGTACAGCTCAGCGTCACTGCTGCTGCTCGCGCTGCCCCGCGGTGATTTTCTCCTCACCGGAGTGACCCTGTTTATGCACCTCCGACTCCAAGCCTGGGTCTCAGCACAGCCCAGCTGCTGCTGGGACGGGATGTAGGTGGAAGCAGAGGGAGCTTTCTCCCTCGGCCTCCCCCCTTCCCACGGGGTTGTTGGTTTTCGAGGTCAGCGGTGGCTGAGCTGCTTGGAAAACGTGATGTCATTGCGGGGCTGGCTGGGAAGCGCTAGGAAGCAGAGCCTTTGATTAGCAGGGCTTGGGGCTCGGTGGAGGGACAGCCTGTCTCCTGCCTGCCCTCCCTCCCAGCCAAGAAATTACCCCTCCACCACCAGCCCCTGAGCCTGGTGGGCTCCGGGCAGGGGCTTGGGCATCCCCCTGGTTCTGGCACCCAGCACCAGACTGTGGGGGTCCCCATGGGTCTGCCCAGCATGGGGACATCCTTTGCCTAGGGGAGCAGTTTCTGTGCAGCCCCAGAGAGATGTGAGCGGGGTGTTTTGGGAAAAGGTCTGTCCAGGGTGTCCTGAAGTTTTTGCTGCTTCAGTGGTACTATCTAGGATGGCCCCCGCTCCTCTGATCCCTGCTGGGCAGCTCCTGGAGCATACTGCCCTCACCCCAGTGTCCCTCTGCAGGGCAGTAGGAGGTGTCTGGCAGTGGGGGGAACAATTACTTCATAATTTCCAGCTCAAGCAGGGGTGCTCAGCTGCAAAGGATGGCAAGAGCCTGTGCTTGCCTTCCACCCCTGCTCTGCAGATCCTGTGTGGGGATGGGCTTCCCAAGCCCCTGGGGACAGGGGTGGGCTCCCATACGTGCACTGTGTGTCAGCAGGTAGGGAAACGACACCAAGTGTGCTGTGCCAGTGCTCCCTGCCCCAGGGAGAGCCGTGCCCAGCAGGGGTGTCCAGCCGTGCTCCCAGCCCCACTCCCCTGCTCCCCACGCCATGAGCTGAGCAGCTGCTGCCTGCTGGAGAGGAGCCAGCCCCGGCCAGGCAGGGGAGCAGAGCGTGAGGCTTTTATTACCCCGAGTGACCTCATTTCCCAATATTCCCCTTTTCTCACTGCTAATTGCAGCAGGGCCCATCTTGTCAGCCAAATGGGCACCGCTTCAACCCTCAGGCTGGCTTTTCGATTTTCTTTAATGAGATGAAATCCTTCAGACCTGAGCTGTGGCAGCTGGTCCCTGCCCGGGGGGGTTCCTAGTCCCTGCCTTGGGAGGTTCCCGCTCCTGCTGGGAAGGTGCCTTCAGCCTCTCTGCCCTGTGAAAGCTCAGGGCACATTGCACACTCTGCAGATCAGCTGCTGGAATCAGCCCCTGGCATTCCAGGGAATGACCCTACTTCTCCTGCCTGCCCTGCATCCCACAGCATGTGCCTTATAGAGCTCTTGAGTCCCAGAACTGCAGGGTGGCACCAAGGATATGCAGGAGCAGTGCTGGTCTGCCACCCTGCTGTGTCCTGAAGGGTTTCCCATGGCAGAATGGACTGAGGGAGACCCTGAGGAAGGAGGGAGCTCAAATCCTCCTGCCAGCATGGGGCTGTGCAGCCTGACCTCCCTTTCACCAAAACGTGGCATTTCTAGCCCATCTGGTAACAACCTCCTGTGTCTCTTCCAGGGAAGATATGAAGAAAGATTCCTGAAGGATGAAACCATCTCCCAGCAGATCAACTCTGTGGAATCCCTCCCAGAGCTGCACCTCTCTCTGGAGGACAAGAAGCCTGAGCAGCTCTTGCAGAGGAAGCTGCGGGTGAGGAGCCGGCCTCCTTCCAAGCCCACTATTGTCCGAGGGGTCACCTACTACAAAGCCCAGTCCACCGAGTCAGAGAATGACATCGAGGAGCAACGTGAGTTGGGTATGCAGACATGCTTGGTGGGATGGTGGCTGCATCCCGCAGCAAAGTCAGTGCCTCATCCCCTGCAGTGTGGGGGCAAAGTGTGTGTGAGCAGCAGGGGGAGGAGGGACAGCTGGTACCTCACCGCTGCGCAGCCTTTGAGCCGAGTATGCGGGGCAATGTAGCATTGTTATTCCATGGAAAATCCATAGCTAAGGAAATAGCTCACTGCTTTGGTTCAAAACACCCAGCATCAACACCTTTCCAGAAGTAAATGGAGGTTTAGTAAATATGCTTGTGTTTCAAATCCACCTGCCCGATGGCATGCCGGGAGGTTCGCGCAGTGTTTGCTGTGGTGGAAGGCAGCTCAGGGCTCATGGCCCTGGCCGTGCTGGGAGCAGGGGATGAGCCCTCACGGGCCAGCGGAGCGGTCAGCATGGGCAGGGGAGAAGGACAAGTGCCCTCGCTGTGCAGACTGGCTCAGCAACGAGGACATCCAGCCCTGCCTCTGGGGGTTGTGAGCTCCTGGAGATGAGGAGGGGCAAAGGGTGCCTGTGCTGGCTGGGGAATCCCACTGATCCCCATGCCCTGGCTGAGGCTCCTGCTTTGGCCTCCTGGGTTAGGTGAGTGGGATCTGGTTTGGAATGCAGCTGGGTATCCATCCTGTCCAATCTCTGGGAGGTGGCAGGGCAGAATTGATCTCCGTCACCTCCTGCTCTGCCTGGCCTGAGGTGGTGGATGTCACTTGATGAGGCCTCACTCACCTCTGACAGTGCTGACATGGGCACTGTCAGCCTCTGCAGTTCTCTGAGGGGACATGGAGAGGGAATGTAGGTGGATTTAGGACCAGCCAGCCTGCAGCAGTGGCCAGGGAGCCGGCTGGAGGGGCCTGGCTCTCCTGGCTGCAGGGCTGACACCTGTGCCTGTGTTTGGCAGCGGACGAGCTGTTCAGCGGGGACAACACGGTGGACCTGCTGATAGAGGACCAGCTTCTGAGGCCCAGCAGCAGGGCAGGCGAGCCCATGAGAAAGCCCTCCCCAGTGGGGTGGCCGCCCACCCCTGGCATAGCTCCCACCACCCTGCCAGCTGCTGGCACTGCTGCGGCATCCATGGTGCCGCTGTCCCCTGCCATGCCAGACCCCACCGCCGTGAGCTTGCTGATGCCCACCCCGGAGTCCGTGACTGCCCCGGCAGGGCTGGCAGAGGAGGGGACCCCACAGCTACCGGCAGGCATGGCCAGCACGGTGGTGGCCACAGCCACAGAGAACTTGCTCGTGGCCACCCCCGCTGGAGGCTGGAGTGACATGGAGCACAGCCCAGGAGCTTGGGTCCAGGCAAACACCCCTGCAACGCCGGTCAGCCCGGCCATCCCTGCCACCCCAAAGGAGGGCCTGGAGGAGGAGGACATCAGGAACATCATTGGTGAGTGCCTGCAGGTGCTGCACCCATCCAGCTTTGTGAGGGGGGGCTGGCTTGTACCCACAGGGCATCCTGCTAAGCACAGAACACCTGGATTTGGTCACAGGAGGGAGGTGTCATGGAGATGGCAGCTGGACAGCACTTCACTGGGGTGCCAAGTTTAATAATTAACTCTGGAACCTAGTAGTTTCCTCCCACCTTTAGGGGCTGGGCTGGGTAGAGCAAAAAGAGATGGGACCTGTGACAGTCAGCAGCCTTAGCTGGAGCAGGGACATGGCTGAGGCTGTGGGGAGATGCTTGTGGGGTCTGGCCAGTCCTGCTGGGCCTCACAAGGCTTCACCAGAGCCAAGGTGGCAGGGGGTACCTGCTGGGTGAGCAAGGGGCTTGGAGGGGGGTGATGCCTTCAGGGAGAGCACGGCCACCCTGCCTCTGGCCTCACAAGCCTTTCCCTGCCCACGCAGGGCGCTGCAAAGACACGCTGTCCACCATCTCGGGGCCCACCACCCAGAACACCTACGGGCGTAACGAGGGAGCCTGGATGAAGGACCCCCTGGCCCAGGAGGAGCGGATCTATGTCACCAATTACTACTATGGAAACACCCTGGTGGAGTTCAGGAACCTTGACAATTTCAAGCAAGGTGAGTTTGCACTATCTCTGATACCATGCTAGCCACCACTCAGCTGATCCGAGCAGCATCCTCATTCCTGGGGATGCTGCATCACGGGGGGATGATCTGCCTGGGGACCTTCCACATTTGGGTGCTGGCACCCGGTGTGTGGAGTACAGAGCATGGGACAACTCAGGCTCGGGCTGGTGGCCAGGGAGGGAGTGCAGGCAGAGCTGTGGGCAGAGGGTGCTGCTGGCATGGTCACTCACCCCACAGCAAAGGGAGGTCTCAGCAGCCAGGTGTGTCTGCCCTGCAGGTCGCTGGAGCAACTCCTACAAGCTCCCGTACAGCTGGATTGGGACAGGGCACGTTGTCTACAACGGTTCCTTCTACTATAACCGGGCCTTCACGCGCAACATCATCAAGTACGACCTGAAGCAGCGCTACGTGGCCGCCTGGGCCATGCTGCACGACGTGGCCTACGAGGAGTCCACCCCGTGGCGGTGGCGAGGCCACTCCGACGTGGACTTTGCCGTGGACGAGAACGGCCTGTGGATCATCTACCCAGCCATCAGCTATGAGGGCTTCAACCAGGAGGTGATCGTGCTGAGCAAGCTGAACGCGGCCGACCTCAGCACTCAGAAGGAGACCACGTGGCGGACGGGGCTGCGCAAGAACTTCTACGGGAACTGTTTTGTCATCTGTGGGGTCCTGTATGCGGTCGACAGCTACAACAAGAGGAATGCCAACATCTCCTATGCCTTTGACACGCACACCAACACGCAGATCATCCCCAGGCTGCTCTTTGAGAACGAGTACGCCTACACCACGCAGATAGACTATAACCCCAAGGACCGCCTGCTCTACGCCTGGGACAATGGCCACCAAGTCACCTACCACGTCATCTTTGCCTACTGAGACCCCCCACCACAGTGGGGCACTGCAAGCCAGGGGCCACCAGCACCTTTTATTATTATTTTAATTGTTATTATTGTTATTTTGTACAAATTGAAGAGTGAATGATGGGTTTTGTTTCAAGCTGGTTTTTTATGGCGGATTGTAGATCAATCCCCAGGCCAGAAGCACCCCCTTTGTCTTTGCTGTATCCTTGCTTCTGATTTTCCTTCCCAGGGGAAGGAGCTCCTCCTTTGGAAGGGCAGGCCCGGCTCTCCTACCCAAGGAAGAAGAGGTGGCCCAGACACCGTCCTCCTGAGGATGTTTTTAGCTAGAGATGATCAGCAAGACATCCTGAACCAGTGCAAAGTTGCACGCACCAGGTCCCAGTGGGAGGTTGCTGCCTGCCTGTCCTGGTGGAGGACCTGCATGTCCCATGGGAATGTCCCGTCTCTCAGGACCATCTTCCCAGCTATGGCTAGCAGGCCCCTTGGAGATCCTGCTGTACAATGGGGCTGCGAGCACAGCTCCAGCAGCCTCTGGTGCTGGTACTTATGTCGAGGACTGTCCCCTCCAGCCGGGCTTTGCTCTCTGCAGGCTGCTCTGGGGGGCTGGGCGCACCCCGAGCCCTGACTCATGCCTGGAGGGAGTTGGCGGCAGGAGGGGGGTGCTGTAAATACTTGTAGATGGCTTTTGTTTGTTCATTTTGTAACCCAAATAGTCCCCCTTGGCATTTGCTGGGCGAAGGCTCTGCTCAGCTAGGCGCTGGGCTGCCTGGGCAGGGGCTGGCAGAGCCCTCGCTGTGCCACTCCACCTCCTACATTCCCTCTCATGCCCATGCCAGCCGTGGTCCTGACCATCAGGATCCCCTCAGAGAGGCACAGCCCTTGCCCTCCTGCCCATCAGCATCTTGTATTTACCTCCTGTCAGTAATAAAGGATCCAGTACCTTCGCAGCTGTTCGGGGCTTTCTTTGGCTCTGGTTCACCCTCTGGGTGCATGAAAATGCACAGGGGTGTTTTGGGTGGGTTTTGGTTGGTTTGGGGAGAGCCAGTTTACACAACAGATGGGGGCAAACTCCAGGAGGGCTTTAGGCTGCTTGGGACTGGTACTGGAGCAGGGTGACATGCCATGTCCAGCCCTCATGGGCTCCTCTGGCAGGCTCTGGGTGAGCAGCTCGTGGAGGGTACCTGCTCTCTGGCTGCAGGAGAGGGACAGGGTAGATGTGCCACGGGCACTGCCAGCACTGTGCCAAGCAGAGCCACACTGCAGCCCAAGAGATGGCAGACCAGGGCAGGCATTCCAGTAGTTTGCCTAAGAAAATATTAACAAGTACAATGAATAATGAAATTATTAATAATAAATAAAAGAAGGATTTTACTGCCTTCAGTAGTAGGGACACAGAGAACAGAATTACACAGGATAAGAGATGCTCTCTACCACCAGAGCCCAGGGGTGCTGCCTGGGGAGGATGTGGTGCCACAGCAGTCCTGAGCCCCCAGCCCCCACCAGCAGCCCTTCCCAAGGTTGTGCAAGCCCAGCCACCACCCCAGTCCCCTCCCCAGCTCCCTGGCAGCAAATGCCCCCAGAGCAGCCAGCAGCCCCTACCCATGGCTGCGGGGGAGCCATGTGCCTCTGGCTGGGGCACCGCTGGAGTTTTTATTTCTGACTATTGTGAGTTGTGAGCTGGCCCACAGTCAGGTGGGACCAGGCCAGGAAAATGAAGTGGTGCGAGCAGCGCAGCCAAACCCCGGCCAAGCCCAGCTCCCTCCCAGCAGCGCGAGCGCCGCGAGGACGGGGCCTGCCTGTGCCGGGGACGTGGCAAAGGACACAGCTTCTCCAAGGTGTTGCAAGGCACATACTTCACAGGGGTGCACTGCTCCTCATCCTCCTCCTCACTGCCCCTGGAGCTGTCTGTCGTGCTGCGGGATCAACCTGTATTTCCTAACAGCCACACACATACATGAACAATAATATAATAATAATTAATAATCAAAAACTCCATGTGAGCCAGTTAGTGCTCAAACCATGAAGGAAAGGTAGCTGGTTGACAAACTGAAGCTCATCATCTTCTTTGCAAACTGCACAGGGGAGAAAAAATAACATAACAACATGCTGAAATCATTATGCAAGGCTGATGCTCTGCTGGCGGCTCATCCCAGCTGAGCACCAGTGTGCTGGAGCTCCTGGGCCCAGCTCTGGCCTGGGGCTCGGCTGACAAACACAGGAGCAGTGAACAGAGCTCCATTCTGGAATGGCAGCAGATCGCTGCAGCCAGTGTTTGGGGCAAATGGAACGTTCCCCCGCTGCCCGGCGAGTGGCTCTCTGTGCTGGTGAGGCAGAGGGGTGCGTGGTGCTGAGTGTGTGTGACACGTGTGTGGCTTCAGGAGAAGGTGCTGGGGCTCTGTCCCACGGAACTGAAGCATCCCCTTTGCCCCAGCAAGGCCAGTGCTGCTCCACGGGCAGTTGTTAGCAGTGAAAAGTATTAAATAGCACACACAAAAAACCCACGCAAACAAAAACCAGGAAGAAAAAAAAAAACAAAACTCAAAAAACCCAAACTTTACAAATGCATCTGCTGCATGAAATCACTTCCTTTGGGCCAAGCCTTCAGCCGTGCAGCCATGTGTGCTGGGGAAGGCAGCAGCAGGATCCTGGAGAGCCAGGCAGGTGTGGGGTGGGCAGTGCCTCACTGTGCAGCCCAGCCCCAGGGCAGTGCTTTAGTGGTGAGTGCGGGGTCCCAGCACCCTCTTGAGGGTCTGGGCTGGGCTGCTCCACCACACTGCTGCATCCCAGGGCTTTCTGCTGAGGGAGGCTGCACAGGCAGGATTTGGGAGGGAATGATGAGGAGTGGGGCTGTCTGGTCAGGCACAGCACCTGAAGCTGGGAGCTGGACTTCCTCCTGCTGCCCAAGCACACTGCAGGGAGAGCGGCCTCATGCCAAGTGTGGGTGTCTGCTGCCTCGTCTCTGGCTCATCAGCCCACCTCTGGTAGCCTAACAGGGACAGAAATGAAAAACAACCCACAATTCTGGACAGCACATAAGTAGCAGGGATGGGCCATGTCCCCCACGTTGTGTGGGGCCCCCAGGACTGTCCCTGGCGAGGAGCCAGCTGAGCTGCATTATCCCCGGGCAGGATGCAGCCATTGGGTAAGGTCAGGCACAGGAATGGGCTAAAGGGGGCTGTCCCTGCTGTGCCCATGTGCCAGGAGCCCCAGGAGCTGCCAGAGAAGGGGCTCAGGCTGGTGGCAGGACCTGCTGCATGCCGGTGTTCCCCTGTGTGCTGTCACAGGAGCTACTGCAGGGATTTGACAATGGCCCTCAGGGCATGGGGCATCTCTGTGACGGAGGGGGACGAGCTGTAGAAGGTGTCGGTGTGATTTCTGCGCTGCTCTCGGAGGTATGGAGGGACAGATGAACTTTTGATGTGGAGGATCCTGGTGTCCATCACTTCGCAGTCAATCTGCATCATCACCTCGTAGTCCTGCCCATTGATCACATTCTCTGCAAAAGTAAGGATAAAGAAAACCAGGTCAGAGTTAGCTCTGCAAGCTAGGGATCCAAGAGCACTAAAAGCAGAACTTTATGGACCGTTTTTTGTCTGGAGCAGGAGCTGCAGTGGGGAACTCCCTTTCTGCAGCTGCACGCATAGAGCTCCATCTCACACAGCAGAGCCCCAGACTGCTCGTGACACCTCGAAGAGCCTAGACCACACTAGCATGTGCAGTCACACCTAGAAATTAATGTCTTTTATTTCCCCTTCTTCATCTGCACATCATTACTGACGGAGTTTGCACTGTGTAACATTCATTACAGAACTGTTGTTCTTGAGCCACTAAAGTATGGGTGTGATTGAAAATAAGGTTTATTTAAGAAAGCTGAATGTTTTACTTTCTGTAACCCTCTTGACACTGGGGATCTTGAGGAATTTCTTCACCAGTTTATTAACAAAAAACCCCTAAAATGTGATCTCTCAAAAGAATAACTGTGCCTCATTCCCATCTGACCTGGCTGTTGTACTTGAGTGATGTGGTGACACTGGGCAAGGCCACTCCCCTGACAGAGCCCTGGACACAGGAAGACCTTGACCAGCACCCGGGACCCCAGTGCAGCCCCCGGCCCGTGACATCTGCTGCCACAGGAGCTGCTGGGCTTACAGGCTGTGCACATGGCTAGCATCTGCTGCCTGGATTTAAAGGTGGGAGACTATTCCCTGCATAGACAGTGTGCCCAGGAATGCAAGATCTGAGATCGGATTTCCAGGCAAGACCAATCCTTTCAGAGCCAGAAGACTGTCACTGGCAGGGTTTCCTTTCTGTGCTCAGGAGGATGGAAGATCACCTAATGGAAAGCATATGGACTGGAGGAATGCAATATACATTACTAATTTTTACTGTTTTCCTGGATTAACTCTGACTCTGGATGACAGCTGAAGACCACGGCCAGACCCTGCTGTACCCCACACCACCTGCAGAAGCCATTAGATCAACTGTGTCTGGTATAGTAATGAAAGGCAGGAGCAAACCCTTGCTAAGGGGGCTGAGAGCCTGCAAGGGAAATCAAAGCTTGCACCTGCAAGGAATGAAATGGTAAAAGCTCTGTATGTGCCACCAAGAGACTGAGGCCATGAGCAGCTGTGCAAGTCTCTGTGCCACTGACCCAAACCCCCAACAAGCACCTCACCCCTCCTGGATGCTGCACTGCTGATAAAGCCCCGCTGTGACATAAGATGCTGTGTCCTTAGCTGGGACCCTTTCAAAGGCCATCCCTCCAAGTCACCCCTTCTCTCTGCCTTTGGAGGTGCTCTTGGCTCCCACCCACAGGCTCAGGACCAGTCAGCAGAGGAGCCTGGGCTGCTGGTGCCACTCAGGAGAGGGGGCTGGAAAGGGGAGCAGAGAGGCACAAGGGGAAGCTGAAGGGCACAGAGCCTGGAGCCAGCAAATGGGCACAGATGGGCTCCCTGTGACACAGCAAGCTGAAAACAGCTCCTCAGCTCTCATGCTGCAGTTGATGGAACCCAGTTACGTGAGAAACAGTGCTCCAAAGCCACAAGTGGGATGGGATGGTGGCAAGGGCCAGGAAAACATCTTGGTAGTGCAGTGACCTTCCCTGCCTAGTCACAGCCAGCACAGAGGGCTATCATTAAGTTCTGGGCATTGCACAAGACAGAGGAGAACAGCAATCCCAAGGGCTGCCCAGGCAAGGCAGGGAGCTGTGCTGTGTGGGTGGCACTGGGGAACCAGCCCAGCCCACTCTGGCCAGCTGGGATCCTGGTCCTCTTGTGCTGACACAGCTCCCTCCCAACAAAGTGTGCCAGGATTAAGTAAGCCACAGTTCTGCCACCCCATGGCAGGAGGGTCTGTGTCTGAGTCCACCACAACGGCAAGAGCTGGGAGGAATCGTGCTCATTATGAGCTTCTCTGGCCAGCAGGCACACAGGGGATGCACACCTCCCACACAGACATTCACAAAAAGTACCCAAATCATGCCCTCAGCCTGTGAGTTAGCCCAAGAGTTAAAGTCAGGTTTGAAGCTGGCATCTGATTCTTTCCCTTTTTGGGGTGAAGGCATTGAACTGCTGCAGAAAACCTCTGCAAAGGCTTTGATCTCACAGGGGTGAGGGCAGCAGTGGGAACAGCGCAATGCCCAGGCATTTCCAGCAGCCTTTCTCATTACCATTAGCTCCAAACCGACACAGAAGAGGAGGTGGGATGTTCCTCAAAGACAGCAGTTACTGCTTGGTGCTGCTGCCAGGCACCTGGACCAGCTTCATTCTAAGGAGGGGTCTGAAAGTGGTGGCAGCCCCGGGACACCCTGCCCACCCCAGCCCAGGGTGGGGCTGATGCTCTGTGAACACCCATGTGATGGTCTCAGCAAAACAACCGGCAAACATGACCTGAGCACAGCTGGCACAAGCCCCTGTTTGGGAAGACTAGCTCACTGTCATTGCAAAAAATGATTGCACATGGCTCCATCCTGAGCTCGATGCCATTAAACTGCTTCATGAGCTGGATGAGCAATAGACAGCATACTTAGAAGATTTCTGGAAGATGCTAAACTGGAGAGATTCCAGCAACCGTGGAGTGTCTAGATTGGATGAGACTGCAGTTTTGATAAAAGAGAGAAGCTGTCCAAAATCTTCAGAATGCATTTTCACCACAGCCAGAGCTGGAAAACATGAATAAAAATGGGGCTGGGCAGAAGTACTACAGAAAAACCTTGAGGACTGCAGAGGATCACTGTGGATAAGCCAGCAGAATGACAGGATTAGAAACAACAGCTCCACTGCAAGAGAAACATATTTAACTTTGACCAAGTTTCTAATGATAATGAAATGCAAGCCCTGGATGAAAGTACCTTGGGGAGATGAGACGATCTCCATGAAGAAGAGTTTTTAAGGAAAGGCTGGAGGAGCAGCTGCCCATCAAGCCCTTGGGTACCAGAGCTCCACAGACATGCTCCTGGTCCCTCTGGGCCTGCCCCTCTGTGAGCTGCAAGACCCTGCTCCTGACCAGAGCTGTGGTCAGCACCTTCCCCAAACACAGCACCTCAAGTTGTGGGTTCTCCACTGGACTCCATGGTCTGATCTGATTCTCAGAACAAGGAAACGATTTTGCCTGCTGATTTCTGTGTCAGATCACTCCTTGTCAGGCTTTCTCTCCTTCCCCTCCTGTGCAGTACCAACATCTGGAGGCACCAGTGGGGCAGAGGGTGGGTTTCCAGAGGGGCTGTGCCCAGCACTGAGCTCAGCAGCTGCGTGTGGCCAATCCCTGGAGGGGTCAGCATGTAACCAGTGCTCAGGGCAGCGTGCACTGCCCTGCCTGAGCACACAGCCACCACCCCTCCCAGTGAGGCACAGGTAGCAGGGTGTCTGTGAAGCAGAAGTGACAGCCCCAGGCTGCTGCCTGCTGCTCAGGTGCTGGCTGCAAGGTCAGCACTGCCAGCATGCGTTACACAGGGCTGCCCAGGGGCCCGCAGCAACGCTGACACAGAGTGATCTTTACTGTACTGAATTACTTATGACTGGTGTTCTGTGGGATTACGTAAATGAAAACACAGGAATGGATCTCCTGTAGAGGTGTCTGGATTTATAAATAGATTTATTGCTCCTCTTTGAAGTTCAGAACATACAGTTTTTCACACAGTGCAGACTCAGGCTTAAGAAGCCATCCTTGCTGGGCCAAGAGCCTATGCTGGAGTTAATTATTTGTTAACAGGTTTAAAAGCCATGCTTCAGATGACTGACTATTTCAAATTAATAGCAAAGGTAATTGTGCCAAGCATTGCAGCTCTGACTGCACTTTCCCAAAGAGCCTTGATGGCTCTTTCAGGCTGTACCAAAGCAGGCTGAGCTTGGTCTAAGGAACAGAAACCTAATTCCCAGTGCTGCTCTCCCTCAGAAAACAATCATGGTTCAAGATCCAACAGATGAAAGCTGAAGTCTGTAGTCCAAACCAAAACCAAATAGGGCTGAGGGCATCAACTACTGCTACAAATTACTGAGGATGACAGAAGATTGTCTTCATATTTGAAGCACTAGATTTTTAAAATGGTATTACTGAAAAGGCCATAAAACCAAAATCCTCCTTCTTGCCTCAGCAGCACTGACATCCATCAATCAGTTGACTGTTCAAATGTCTGTGAGATTGAGCACCTACTTCTAAGGGAGAAGTAGAAAGGGAGAAGACAGGCAGAGGGCTTGAAAGGCAGGCAATAAAACTTTTGTTCTGCAGTTAGTAAGAACAAATGGTGATGTCAGCTGTCTCCACAGACTTCAATTTTACACATATCACATCAGGCTGTTTGGCCCTATGGACACATCTGTCTTAAAGAAGATGTAATTCTGATAATTTATCCTTTTCTACTTACATCTTCCCCAAGAAGCTCTGCTACAACACATGTTCATTGTGGAAACTGGTGTCTGCAGAGAAACTGAAACAGAGCTCTCCTGAAAGGCGACCTGAGCTTGCTGGACTGTTTCAAACACCATGGAAAGGCTTTACAGCTTTCTGAAGGTGCACTCATGCCATACGTATATTTATAGAGCCTTATTCTACCAGAACTATGAATTTTACTTTACTCTGGGTAATATCACAGTGTATTACCAAAAAAAACCTCAGCGGGACCAATACTCTATCATTCAGTGAGGTTCTCAGACCTCAGGCCCTTTTCTAAGGCCCCAGCTGCCTTTGAAGCAGATAACCCACATACCTACTTGCTGCTTTCTGAGTAGGTGACTTTAAAATGGTCAGAACATGCCTGGCTCTGTATCTGCTGTGCTCACTGACTACACATTTAAGGTGCTGTCAGCCACACAGATCTGGACTACATGTCCTTACTCCTGCTAAGGTACAGGGAGGGCAATCACTCACCTTACTTTAACTACCTGTCTTTGTCAATAAGGCAGGCGAATCATCCCCTCCTTGTTGGGGTGGGGAGCAGAAGGTTTTTGCTATCCATGGAACCAGTTTAACTGATGTCAAAATAGGAGCCAGCAAATCACC